AAGTCCCAAGGGCAGGGGAACACCCGGGAACAGCTCTCGTGAACTACAGGATAGACGGGATTAAGTTGTTCCGTGATACTGATATCTTTTCGAAGAGTGGAATCCGGTCATTTTTTTCCGTTTTCGTGTGAGTGCGAAGAGAGTGACGGGCGTCGGGAAGAGGAGCGAGCGACCGCAGCGGCACTCGGTTGTGACGTGTCGGCGGGCGTTCAGTTCGTCACCCTTCGCAGCCCTTGCATAAATGTCCCCGTCGCAAACAGTTTCAGTGGGTTAGATTGTTACTTCAAACTGTCTGGTTATTTGTAGGTTGTTAATATAAATTGAGAGCAGCATATGGTATCCACACTTCCCTCAAATGGGTGTTCCACTGCCATCACAACCGTAATTACTGTTTACTGTTGTCCCCTTTACGTGCGAGGATAATACCCTTAACCCCATTCACTTTCACGCGTTATGCCCTCGAGCCCTCGCTTGGCCTAGAAAACGGTAGCGGCACCGGGCACCCCAGCCTAGCCGGGTTATCCTAACGGTCCGTCCCGAATACCAGCGATGCCCAAACGATAGCAGAACATCGGAGCATTGATTTGGCGATTTCTGGTGAGATTTTTACTAATTCATTTTATTCCAACCCGAATACCGTTGAATCAGCGTTAGAGATGAACAAAGGCTTGCTAAGACCGCGTATAAAATCACCGGACGCTTTTGTTTTTTTTTCTCCATGATAGGTCTTCCCTCCGGTAGGACATGTGACGTCACGAGATCTCCACGAACGCTTGTCGTGCGTTTCTTTAATGAGGGACATCCTTTCTGTAATGTTAAGGAGGCTTTTTTCTCTGTCGCAGGAAGAGTTTACCGTGTACAATGGATTTTGTATTGTTCATTACATATTTCGATCTAGAATGCCACGCCATATGTATGTTTTATTTTCAAAATAACTGAAATAGAGTTTGGATGGAGTCCTTCATTCGTTGTTGTCACACTCTTCCGGTGCTGTAAACTGTAGAAGACACGCCAAAGCGGAAAGGGATGTGGCACATTATGCTTGTGTTCATGCAGCTCTGTAACAACTATAAAGTCCTTTAACTACCCCGTGAATTCCTTCCGGCTGCGTGAACATCTGCTCTTGGTTCTCACTTTCCTCTTCACTTTGTCTCTTCTGTGTATTTTATTTATTGATTTATATTTTATATAGGTGGGTAGATATAGATAGATTGATTGATTAATTATGCGTATATATATATATATGTGTGTGTGTGTGTGTGTGCGAATATTAAATAATTATATATCACATCCTGGGCACCTACATTTTACCAAGCAAATGATGCATAAACAAACTGTCTCTTCCTCGTCCACCTGCTACTTCTACCTCCCCCCCTCCCCCGCCTCCCCGCTTAGATGACCGCCCTATTACATCATTAACCCGGTCTTGCCTCCGCCCATCTGCCGAAATCGTAGTGACGGGTGTCGATTTTGGGCGGAGGTGTCCACTGTCAGGTCCGAGGGCCGGTTGGCGATGCCGACTGACGACTTCCTGGTTACTTGTGACCCAAGGAATGGTTAGAGGGGGGTGATGGCGCTTCCTTGTACGACCTGTTATCATCTTTTGTTCTGGTTCTCATATACAATATATATATATATATATATATGTATATATGTATGTATATATATATATATATATATATATATATATATATATATATATATATATATATATATATTATATATATATATTATATATATATATTATTTATATATATATATATATATATATATATATATATATATATATATATATATATATATATACATGCATATATGTATAATACAATAAAATATGCGTATGTATGTATGTATAGTTATGTATATATATGTATTTGCATATATTTATATGTGTATACATATGTATATATACATCCAAAAAAAGAGACAAACAGAGATAAACAGGTAGATGTATCGTTTTGCTTTTTTCTCTCCTATACCTTTTGTCAATTCTAATAATTATTTTCCAGTTATTTTCATTATTTTCACTCCCTCGGTGACCCCAAACCATAACCATAAACATGATTCCCCAAACAACGGCGATGAACGTCACTTCCACAAATTGAAATGCAGAGTAATAGATCAGTAGACCGCCTGACCTCTCGGCGCGCGTCCGGTAAATCCGTAACGGCACAAAACCGGACGCCGATCATATTTAGGAACGTTTACGCTTCAAAGGGCAGTTGCATGCTTCCTTACTTTGAAGGGGGGGGGGAGGGGGGTTAGAGGGTGGAGGAGGGAGGCAGAGTGGGGTGGGGTGGGGAGGGGAGGGGGTGGAGGTTGTGAGCGTTAAGATGAAGAAGTTCGAATTTCGTAATTGAAAAGGTCGGTGATGGGGAGCTTAAATGCCATCACTCCCCCTCCCCCCCTCCCTCACCCGCCCGCTACGTCAAGTTGGGCTGGGTGGGGAGGAGGGGATAGAAGAGAGGAGAAGAGAAGCGAAGCGAAGAAGAGGAACGAGAGAAGAGAGAAGAGAGGAGAAGAAAAGGGAAAGGAGAGGAGAGTGGAGTAGAGGGGAGAAGAAGGGAGGGAAGGGGAGAGATGGCTAAAGTCAAGCTGCTTTTGAGACTTCCTTGCTTGTTTGGTTTCTTTGCTATGGGTTCGGCTGTGCATTGCGTGGCGCTGACGTTAATTTGATTAAAGAATATATCATTGTTTATGTTATTATTATTACTAGTTGCACTACTGCTGTCATCATCATTATCCATATCGTTATTATTATTGTTATTGTTGTTATTGTCCTTATCTCTTTTTGTTGTTATTTCAGCAGCCTGGCCATTATTATGGTTATCATTGAAATGGAATTGAGTAGTTTAGGAATTTGAAGAATTTAACACTTTTTTAACTTTCTTTTCGGATTTTAGTATTTATATATTATGACAGACAGACAGAGACTGTGAATGTGAGTGAGAATGAATGAGAGAAGAAAGAAAGAAAGAGAGAAAAAGGGATAAAGAAACAACAAACAAACACAAAAAAAACGGAA